AGGAAAAAAATGCACTTGCTGAGAGGTTGAAGAGTGCCGAAGCGGCACGAAAAAGATTTGATGAACAACTGAAACGGTATGCAAATGAGAATATGACTAGGGAGGAAATCCGTCAGTCACTGGAAGATGAAGTTCGTAGGCTGACACAAACAGTTGGACAGACCGAAGGAGAAAAGAGGGAGAAGGAAGAGCAGATTGCTCGATGTGAAGCATATATTGACGGGATGGAAGCAAAATTGCAGGCCTGCCAGGTTCTTTTCCTTCTTCTGAAACATGATAGGCATCTCTCTGTCTGTTAGATTTCTGTTCGCTCATTTAAATTGCTGTGGCCTGGAAAATTTAACGGGTAAAAATTTCAGTGTGATCTCGAAATGTTATTATAGCGGTAGAGTTGATGAATTGTTTAGTTTATAGATCTTGTTGGATCTGCATAATAATTAGCAAAAATCTCTTCAACACTGAAGACTCATGGAACAATAACTTAGTACAGGGCTAGTCATAGAATGAGTTGGAAATTGTTAATGACAGCAGTAAAAATAAGGAGAGAGGTAAGTGAGGTGAGGTAGACAAACATTGAGGATTAGATTGTGTGGGAGAGGTAGAACTCTTGAAAATCTATCAACCTTTGTATTTTTTCTTGCAACAGTTATTCGGTACGTGCCACATTCTTACTTTTACACTCCAAATCCCGCTTCTTAAATCTTATCAATGACAGCAGAGCATATTCTTTGGGGGTAGATCCAAAATCTATAAGGAAAAAAACACTGTTAGGTGATTTTCCGTAGTCTGCTGATGGAAAGGAAGGGTGTTTTGGCATCCATGAATTCAATGAAAGCAGAGGTGTCAAAATCAGTTCACGGAAGCTTTGGAAAGGGGTTTTTAACAGCCAAAAGAAACTGAAGTTCGTCTACCTGAGACACTGGAAGTGGAGCAAGAGTTGGAGGTGGAGCACGGTGAAGTCTCACCGGGTTGTGATGTGGGTGGCGGAATGATCTCAGTAGTCAGTTGGAATGGGTTAGTATTGAAATAATATCTGGTCAGGTATCGAAGGCTACAAGCTTAATTGTAATGAGTTGAAATGGTCCAAATCCCCATCATCATGGTTCCATGTTGCTTGCAAGTTAGGTAAAACGGTAGAGGGATGGCGTGCTGATGATTGGGGAGCTGAAAAGCACTTGGGAATGAGGTGTAATTTAGATTGAGAGGCCAGGAGTAATCTGCATAGGTCCATGGCAGATGAGCAGGATAAAATAAATCATGATGAACATGGACCTCAAGGAGTAGGAAGAGTGTGAGCTGGATCTGGTCAGAGTTGAGTCACAAGGACAGGCTCTAAGAAGATTATGTTTTGTTAGAAGTGGCAACGATGATATGGCTGAAAATGTTTAAGAGAGGCAAGACGTGATCTGTGAGATTGAATTGGGATTCAAAGGGAAAAGTTGCTGGCAGTAAAGGAAGGAGAGGCCAGGAGTAATGGCTTGATGTTTTCTGATGATGTTGGGAAGCACTGGTGGTAAAAAAGGAGGGAGATTGTTTCCATCTTGCTTTTGAGTGCCTGAAGTCCTTTAGAATCACTAGTCCAAGCCCCTGGATGGACTGAAAGAAGAAGCGGGTTGGTCCCGCAATTAGAGAAAAAAGGGGAGATGAGGTGGAGAATGGGAATGTGCCGAACCAGGAAAGAAATAAAAGCTAGAATATTAATTTTACCATTTTGAGCAGGGAATGATGTAGCCTTCGGTGTTTGGTTGAAAAAATTGTCTTAGCAAAAATGTCAAGCTGCCTACTCCAAATATAATTCATCGCCTTCAAGACAAGGTGATAGTTGCTCATCAGGCCTTGGACCCATTGCACGATTTCTTTGTTTACACCTCCTAAAAGAAGTCAATAAGTGGGTTAGTTAGTATAGGGGTAATTACAACAGAGGGGGAGTTTGTTAAGAGGGGATTTTTCTTTCATTTTTTTTCTTTTTTTGAAATGAAGACGAACTTTTCATTTAGATGGGTGAAGAGTTACAGAAGTTTCAAAAGTAGTAAACCCACACTGGAAACAGACTAACAAGCACGATTAACAATGGCGTCCCTTCTACAATAGAGCCCCAGGGTAAAAGAACATTTTCGTAAAGAGAAGCTCCGAAAACTGGCAACCTATGCCCTCATTCCATTCTTCTTTACATGTAGTTTTGCTTCATCCGGTTCGTTCTATTACATCTAGTGCGTGTCGTACTCCTTTTATGGGTATAAGCTATTAAAAAGAATTTGGCCTCCCAGTTTGAAGCAACTACTGTATTGTTATCTAAAGAAATCCAGCGTGAGCGGTTAAGTTTTGCACTTTCAAACACAACTGCTCCCCCACAATTTCTTAGCTCCTCCTTACATGAGAGTTCCACACAACAAAAAATTTCACGTCCTCCCTTACTGAAAGGTGAAAATCCCACGACAGACCAAACGTCTTCGAGGCTGACTTCTCAAGGAATTGTTAAATAAATTTGTAAAATAAGGGAAGAGAGCAATGAGATGAGGTAGACAAATATCAGGCGATTTAGATTGTGGATTGATGGTGCTTTTTAAAGGCTGTTGAAATTTATATTCTTCCTTGCAGCAGTTGTACCATGCAGTACTCCAAATTTTAGTTACTGTTATAGATCCTGTCTGATATGCAGAACAATTGGGAAAAATATAGTCAACGTTGGAGATAATTATAAAAGAAGCATTTATTATTATTATAATTTTGTTATTACGCATGGTTCTTTAGTTTCATATAGAAAAGAAAATTCTGATCAGCATTCCGGAGAATTTTATAAAATCTCATCGATCAGCACCATGTGTCACTCTTTTTTATAGTCCTGAAGCTCTATAGCTATGTTAGATTAATGTTAGCTTTCCTTCTCTTGCAGCAATATATTCATTCACTTGAAGCATCACTACAAGAGGAAATGTCAAGACACGCCCCTCTATACGGTGCTGGTTTGGAAGCTCTGTCGATGAAGGAGCTCGAGACGTTATCCCGAATTCATGAAGAAGGTTTAAGGCAAATCCATACTCTTCAGCAGCGCAAAGGAAGTCCGGCTGGCAGTCCTCTTGTGAGCTCCCATGCCCTCTCTCACAGTCATGGATTGTACACTGCAGCACCGCCACCGATGGCTGTTGGATTACCCCCTTCGCTCATCCAGAATGGCTCGGGGATTCACGGCAATGGGCATGTGAATGGTGGTGCAGTTGGACCATGGTTCAACCATGCTTGAAAGCGGCTGGGTCACAGCAACGTGGTAATATAGCCATTCTTTTTCTCCCTAATAGAGCTAAGATGATAACATCACGAGAGAAGGATGTTACTTTTTTGCGTTGGCATTTTGACTGGTTGGGCGGGTGGTTCGGGGGAGCGGAATGGGAGATTGAATGAAATAGCAAATGGTTTCCGAAATTAGGGTTCTCATAATGAGTTTGTGAGGATTCTAGTTGACTCCGTTCTTGGCATCAAGCAGTTACAAATGCCATTCATATGCATTTCTCTTTTCAAGTCATAAAGTTCATTATAGGTAAATAGGCCATTCGGTTTTTCTTCATTACAAGTTTTTTGCCATCTTCTTCTCTTATTGCAATCTCGTTCATGGCTTTACCACGGTGCCTTACATCGACTAAATACACGTTCTAATCGGCCTAACTAAGAGAAGTCTTTCTTGGTCGGTAACCTAGTACATAGTACATTGTGCATTTGACACTCTGATGTGCTAGATTGTTTGTCACATTGCTGCACGAATAACTCTCAAGTAGAAGTATTCGAGTAGCGAGATTGGTCCGAGCGGAACGAACACAGAAAAAGCAAAAGCATGTTTCCCTTCCAAATTCCAAGTAGGCTTCCTCATGTCTTGATTAGTGTACTTAGCAAAAGCGATGATTTAGTTTTTATTCTTTCAAATCGGTAATAATTTACTTTCTAAATTTTATTATGTAATAATTTAAATCCTATAGTTTAAAATTTGTAACGATTAAATCTCTATCGTAAAAAATTTCATCAAAAACTTTTATCATATAATAATTTAGTCTTTGTAATTTATGAACAACTTGATTTCTCATAGATTATTTGACTTACATATATAAGAAATTTAACATAAATTTTTACCATATGGACTAAATCATTACAAATTTTGAACTAAGTGGATTAATTTATTATATACTAAATCATTCGAAAGCAGTACAAATAATGAAAGACGGTTACATTTGGATTTTTCTAACCCATAATCTCAGATGCGAAGTTTAGTAATGTGAAAGCTGTTGCACAATCTTCTAACAAATACACTCTCACCTCCTTCCTCCTGATGGCTAACTGCCAATTCTTCATATTTAGATTCTACCCTCTTATTCTACAAGTGATTCAAAAATATCTTTATCATTCTCCAAAAAGATATTCATATGAAATACAACATTTAATAAATTGAAACTTGTGATCAAGTTCTAGATAAAAGAAGCAAACATTTGAATAGATACAAATTAAACTAAACAAATCAAAGTTCTTTCTTGCGCTCATTTATCAATTAGAATTCTTTCTTGCACTCATTTATCAATTAGAATTTAGTTGAGTATACATAGAGCATGTTTGGAACTAATTTTATCATTTTCTAAAGTTACTCGTTGTACACCATTACTATTTCAAATGAAAATAATTTTGACAATGAAAAAAGTGATTTTGATTATGTCAAGTACTTAATATATTTAGGATGATATACAAGTAATTTTAAATAACGACAAAATCGCTCCCAAACACGACTTTAGTAATAGAACGCATGAGAATATGATTTCAAGAAAGAAAATGCATGATTTTCATATTGAAAAACAAGATTTAACTTATCAATTAATAATAAAATTAAGTAAGCAATATTGCAATCGATATAACACAATATTTGAGAATCAAAACGACTCAAACTTCCAATCCATTCACGAGAAATGAAAAAACCCATAGATTCGAATGGATTTAAACACCTTGGAGAGGACAATCATGATATATCATATAATTCCCACCATTAGATCTTATAAATAAACTTGTAAGTTCTAAGTCCACAAACAAAACACACCTTCAAAAAATGGTGATTTCGTGTACCTGCAAAACATGAATAAATAAGTAAATAAATAAAAAAAGAAAAAACACACGAGGATAACCGAAACTTGACTGGAGAGAGAGAGAGATTTAAGGAAGGCCAAAGAAAAAAGAAAAGGTGGAGAGAAGAGAAAGAGCAATTGGGAATTGCAAAGCCAAGCAGAGAAAGAAGAAACACTTAGAGCAAAGCAACCACTTCCACATATTTTCCTTCTTCTTCCCATTCAAGAATGAATCAAAATCTCATCAAAATCATCACTCTGTTTTCTTTCTCTAATCGTTTGTAAAAGGCAAAGGCTTCACCTGCAAAGAGAGGGAATCAAAAGCAAAGTGTGAAGTGTGTGTTTGCGTTTGCGTTTGCGTTTTAATTTAATTTGGTTATGGATATCAGGTGGTCATTATGGCCTACTCCCACTTCCTTCTCCTTCCCCTGTTTTTCTTTTCTTTTCATTTCATTTTCCTCTCGTTCTTTGTTCTTGCCTATTTTTGCATGCGAAGCAAATTTATCCCTCAAATCATGCATTCTCCCCTAAATATAGCTTGCTTTATACACCTCATTTCCCTGGTTCCCACTTCTTTTCCGTTCTTCTGATTCTTCTGTCTCTCTTTCTCCCTTAGCCCTTTTGGAGCAATATGAAGAAAGTCTGTTGGCCATACTTTGATCCTGAATTTGATACTCTTCCAGAGAGGATTAATGGCCCTACGTAAGTATATAATATAATATCATATTATATCATATTAAACCCTTCCATTTCCCTCATCATCCAAAATCAACCTCCTCAACCCTAATGCTTATTTCTTCTTCTTCTTCTTCTTCTTGTAGTTGCAGAGTCTGCATTGACAATGAAAGCATGGAGGATTGCACCATTGTCAAGGTAGCGATAATGGGTTTGTAAATTAATGGTCTAATTCCTTTTTCTGATCGGTCATTGGCGGCTAATTGATCGGATGGGCTCCATTTTTGGTGCAGGTGGATAGCTTGAACAAACAAGGCCTCCTCCTTGAGGTGGTTCAAATTTTGACAGATTTGAACCTTTCAATATCCAAAAGCTATATTTCTTGTGATGCAGGCTGGTTCATGGATGGTACCGTTTCATGATCAAATGTTTCCCATCTCTTCTAATGGAGTCCTTCCTAAGATGGAATTGAATGTGGGGTTTTTTTTTCCTTCTTTTTTTCTTTTGGTTTGGCAGTTTTTCATGTGAAGGATGAGCATAGCCACAAACTTACGGACCAGAAACTCATCAACTCGATCCAGCAGGCCCGTAAAATTCTACTCTTGTGTTTAAATCATACCTCTATCGACGTTTAATGAATAATCTGTCTCCTTCCTTTTGGACCATCTACTTGATTTAGCTGTTTTCCGTGAATGTGCAGGCCATAGGAACAACCAAAGGTCCTGACAACTCGGCCAAGGCCAGAAGTTATGCCAACAACATTCTGAAATCTGACAATTCCGGTGAGCATACAGCCATAGAAATGACCGGAACCGACAGGCCTGGTCTCTTCTCCGAGATATCCGCTGCCTTGGCCGACCTGCATTGCAACATTGTGGAAGCTCATGCTTGGAGCCACAATGCTCGCTTGGCCTGCATTGCCTATATTTCCGACCAATCCACCGACAGCCCGATCGAGGATCCCCACCGGCTCGCCTCCATTGAGGAGCATCTCTCCACTGTCCTCCGGGCGGCCACTGCCCCTCCGATCACCAGTTGGACGCACACCCTGCAACAAGAAGTGAAAACATCAGCCACCATAACAACCGATGTGGAGCGGCGGCTGCACCAGCTCTTGCTTTCGGTCAAGGATTATGATTGGACCTCCGAATCTCTGTCCAACAGATGCAAAAGTAATAAAGAATGGAGGAAGGAAATGGTGCGGATTGAAAGCTGTGATCAGAAAGGATACTCCATTGTCAGCATTGAGTGCAAGGATAGGCCGAGGCTTATGTTCGACACAGTTTGTACTCTTACAGATATGCAATATGTAATCTTCCATGCTTCCATTAGTTCCAAAGGAGGGTGTGCTCTTCAGGTATGATCAACTCCAGCCATTTTAATCTAACATTCCATCCACACTTAACAATTGAAAATGGGAGTATCCTTCTAATCTATTGCTATGGACATGGTTTGAACTTAATGATGCAGGAGTATTTCATCAGACATGTAAATGGGTATGCCTTGAATTCAGAGAATGACAAGCAAAGGGTGGTGAAATGTTTAGAAGCAGCCATTGAACGGCGAGTTTGTGAGGTAAAACGGCAATCCCAAAACTGTGAAAGAAAATTGTGTCCAATTATAAGTTTGGCCCTGTCTATTCAGTCTAATAGGTAACTAAACTTGTGTCTATTTAATCTTAAACATTTGGTCTAAACATGATCAGCTAGTGACCCACCAAACACAAGATAAATAAGATAGACTCGAGACGTATTAGAAATATTAACACTTTCATAACCAAACTTTAATTTAACCAAAAAGTTCTAAAGAAAAACTCACATTTACAGAGTTGAACTTTAATCTTTACACCACCATCAGGATGAAGCTGCAAAAGTGTATTGATGTTGATGTCTTTTTGAACACAATATTTGGTCAGGGAGTAAGGCTGGAGTTATGTGCAAACAATAGGGCGGGATTGCTGTCAGACATAACGAGGGTTCTGCGAGAAAATGGGCTGAATGTGGTGAGAGCAGACATAGCAACAAAGGGGGAGAAAGCCATTAATGCATTCTATGTCAAAGACATTTCAGGCAAAGAAGTAGACATGGAGATGGTGGAGTCCGTGAAGAAGGAAATTGGCCCCATTGTCCTTCGAGTCAAGAACGAGACCAGCCCTCCATCCTCACCTCAGGCTCAGATTACAAGGTCTCGCTTCTCCTTCGGCGACATGCTCAAGTCTCAGATTGAGCGCCTGTCTCACAACTTCATTGCCATCAGGCACTGACTCTGTTTTTCTCCTGGCAACAAATTAAAAGGAATTGCAGCAGAAAACAGCATACAAAGAAAAATATGGGTGAGTTTAGATGTTCATATGTGTATGATATTGACATAGAATTGGTGTAAATAGTATGGAATTTGGCAAAATATGAAGATAGGATGAAAATGTACTGTGGAGTAGAGATTTTCATGCACATTCACAATAATGACGCAACAGAATGATTCTTTTGTTCAGCATTGTGATCTGTTGAATGGAATCGACAGCCTCTAGTTCTATGTGCCTAAACCTTTGAATTTAGAAGGGACGATTACTGTTCATACGTTGGAGAAGATCTTCTCTAGATCAGATTTGGTTTGACTCTGTTTTAGTCATCAACTAATCTGATTTTGGAGCGGCAGAGAACTAATCATTTCAGTTACCAAATCCTTCATCCTGCAATCGGCCTTTCAGAAAAAAATAAAATAAAATCCAGGGCAAATTTTAAAAATTAGAAAGAAAAAAAAAACAGTTTCAGATAAACTTTATCAGCTAGCCAAATCAAATCTAACTAGATATCAGCCAAATAAATCAACTAAAGAATCTACCGTGCAACAAAAAGTTTCCTAATACACGTTTTCTATCATGAAATTTGAGCTAAGTTTTCAAAAGTATTTTAAGCAGTTGACAGTTGCAAACAAATTATTAAATATATATATATATATTTTAAAAACAGAAAACACAATATAAATTGGTTATAAAACTACAGGTGGAAGATCTTTAAGAGTAAGAAAGGTTGTAGATAATGTCGCAACTGCTACAAAGCAAAATTAGTGACATTTGCAACAATGTAGCAACCAAAGTTTTGCCGAGGAAACGTTAAAACCATACTTTCTTACACGAACAAGAAATAGGAATTACAAAAATTGATCATGATATTATTTAGAGTATTAAAACATCTCGAAACATGTATCGTTTATCCACTCTCATCATGATGGAGTGAAGAATCTCTCAAGAAGATGACAAATTCTAGGCAGAAGTTTATTCAGCAACAAAAACTCCCCTGCAACAAAAGTTGCAGAAACTGATGATCTAGTAGCAAAATAGCGTAGAAACTATTTGATATATACATTTGGATAGGAAATAGTTGAGTCAGAACTTAACTCTCTAAGCCTCAAGAACACCTAGCTTCCCCAATGCAGTTCTTATGTCAGCAATCTTGCATCCTTCTGCTTGGATAACATTTGGGCTGCTGAATGGTACAGCATGTTCCAGAGGATAGCTTCTGTTGGCATGAAGCTTGCTAGCAGCACTGCAATCGATGCCCTTCAATATCACAGTTTTGTGAACTCCACCAATCAAACCTTCATAATCTGTGTCCCCACATTCTCCCACAAACACCACCACCTTTGTCAAGTCCATTCCCCATCGAAGGTAGAGATACCTGGAAAGGGAATAAAATTTGTACATGATCCCCAAACATCAAAAAAAAAAAATATATAAAAAATAAATAAATAAATAAAAACTTAGGAATCTGTAATGTGAGTCAAAGCCATTAAGTTTCAACAATTTAGGGGGACTGTGTCTTTTACTTATGTTCTCTTTACCTATTTATTCATCCACTCATGTAGCTTAACAAAATGTTAATTTATTATCGCACCACTTGATAGTATTTACAAATCATTTAAAATAATCATAACAATCATCTCAGCTATAAGATATTTGACTATTGACTAGAAGAGGCACGTGGGATATAAAATGAACATGAGAGATGCTAACTATAATTTTGAGTGTCTATTAACAACATGATTCCTATCAGAAAATCAGAGTTGCTACAACCGCATATGATCCTGCTAAACTGAACCCTCTGAATTCATCGAAATTTTTTATGCATCTGACACAACAATGGCAGAAATACTAAGATATTGTATGGTGTTTTATTTCCTAGGTTCACAGATATATCATCAATATAAAGAAACCAGCCAGATAATGTCAGAAATCACAAGGCAAAGGAAATTTAAACCCTCCCCCATTGCCATACCTCAGAGCTTGAGACCTTGAAGCCAATACAGGGATGACATTCAGCTTCTTTCCATTTTGACAATATAAAGCATGGCATCTAAGAGCCTGGATTCTCATTAATTTCCGTAGCTCTTTAACTGGAGGAAGCTGCAATTTACATTGTTAGGTATCAAAACAAATGTAAGTATCACTCTCTTCCCTTCTTCCCAAATGATAATTTATTAGGCATCTAGATAAGATATGTGCTGTATATATAGACATCAAGGAAGCCAGGCACATTTTGAGAGAACTGATAGCCACCTGATCAGTTTTACCCAACAGAGAAAGACTCTACAACTATTTCCAACTAACTCTCAGATGTGGAACTGTGGGAGCGAATATTTTTTTGATGGACAGCTGCTAGACAAGCATCATTTCCAATTCCATCGCCTCGACACTTTGGCTGCAGATACCTTAGGTATCTAGATTAGCTATCTATATAGGGGTTAGCTATATGGTTAAGGCAGTGCCTATTATGGTTGAGTAGTTGATAATTGAGTTTGTAAGTGATCACCCGTAAATTGGGGGGGAGGTGGGTGAAGGAGACCATCATTTTGTTAGGTAGTCTTTGGTTGGGAGAGCTAGGGAGTCTCTCAAATGGATCCGCTTGGCCACATCGTTGTCTTTGGTAAATCTTTAATAGCAGGGTTCTACGGCAATTGCTTAATTTACATGGTACAAGAAAAAGGTATGCGAGTGCAGTGCAAATTACAATTGCATGTCCAAGAATCAAGAAGATGTGATCATTTTCAACAAATGTTGTCACGTGAAAGATAAAAAAGGCACCCTATTTACAAGGAAAGTAGAAGGAAATAAATGCTAACATACCACTGTTGGATCTTTCACTTCAAATGCAAAACAATGAGAAGTTGATCCCGACTCATCTTCCAAAACAATTTTGCCCTCTCCTTGCTTTTCATTGATGGAAGTAGCCCAGCGAACCAAAGTTTTTCTCAGACCTTCTCCACCCCAGCGGTAATCAATATGTGAATGATAATCCACATCTACTACAAAGGGAAGCCCAAAAGGGTCGTCATCGGAATTTGAAGATGGATAATAGAGCTCACTTCCGCTGTTACAGATGAAAGCATCAAAGTATGAAGGGATGAAACCCCCCAAGATCATTTGAGAGTAGACCTCATGTATGCTCAACGATGTCGACAATATGAAACCAATAAACCCTGCATTCTTGTCCTTACCTACGGCTTCTACAACTGACTCAATGATTTCAAGTGAATCAATGAATGAATCGGAGTCCACAGCGACCACAAAGATGACTTTTTTCCTCACTGCCGAGAATTTACTAGTTGCAGGATTCTGGTCCACTTCACCAGTTGAGCGAACCTTTTGAATGCCACCTAAAACAGCTTTTGACAATGCCATTACAGCATTCTCTGACTGTATTTTTGCATCAGCAGCATTCTCCTCCGGATCTAAAGCATTTTCCAAGGTCGTACTCCCTTCATTCTTCTCACCATCGAATGAAAACTTCAAGTTCAGAGATATATCCTGAATATCTCTCAAAGAATCACCAGGTGAATCTGGGCCCAAATTTTCAAATCTATCATCATCTCCTTGCCATTGAGGCTGCCTTGGTTTGCAGCTGACTATTCGAGATAGATATGTTTTGCAATGCTCTGGCCATGAGAAAAGGTGAATATTTTTTAGACCATTCTGTTTGCACCTTGCCCAGAGTTGCTTATCTGAAACAAGCTTTAAAAGAGCATCAGAAATGGACTTTTGATCATGGGGGTCAACCAGCAGACCGTTATCGAGAACCTGTATTTAAGTGCATTAACAACATTAAATAGCCGATATGAGAGCTAAACTTGCAGCAATTACTGATCGGATTAGGAACTTTCAACCATTACAAAGTCACCAGCAAAATTAACAATTTAACACACCCGAAGAATATCAACAGGACCGCCATTTTTTGTAGCAACAGTCGGCAAACCATGAGCTGCAGCCTGTTTAGGAGGAAAAAAGAAAATAGACAAGAAAATAATGGTGACTTTTTTGTTTATAAGCACACTTAAAAGAACAGGTCTTTTATAAGGCAACAACCTCAATTAAAGTAAGTCCAAATGGTTCGATGAAAGCAGGATTGATGAAAACACCCTGTAAAAGAGAGGAAATAGAGTTGATTGAGATGAATAATATAAAACAAATTTCAAAAGTTAACCTTCGAAATAAAGATAATTACAAACAGTATACCTTCGTTTTTGCTGCAAGTCGATAAATGTTGGGAACATCATACTGCTTGTGGTGTTTAGGGTACGCCACTTGCCCGTACAAGTCATATTTGTCAATTAGCTTAATAATTGATAGAAGAACTGATGCGTTCGTGCCAGACATTTCATCAATATCATCACGGTTTCCCATGATTAATGTCTGTAACAGGTAAAAGAAAATAAACTACAAGCTAAGGACTGACATCTCATCTAACAAAACATATATAAGAAATGGTATTTCATTAAAATGTATGCAATTATTAGACTCAAAGCTTTGAGAATACCAGGTTTGCAAGCTCCCTCAGTGGACGACATTCTCCAAATGCTTTGATTAAAGTGGTAATATTCTTTTTTGGGTCTGGCCTTGCAAGTGCAAGTATCATTGGCTTCCGTGGATTGGAAAAGAACCGCATAATCTAGCATTCAAGTCCCCAAGATTACCATTGTCAATAATTCTTCACAGTTCACTGACTAGCGAAGTATGACAGAAAGAATTGATAAGAGAAGAAGTACAACCTCAGCCCAAATTGGAGGGTCTGAAGAACCATGACCATCATCAGTCTTCTCAACTTCCCCATCCATATCAGCGTCAGGTAGAACAACATGATGAAACTCCATTCCAGGAGGAATTACCTGATCATTACAATCACTATTAGTACATAATAAATGCACTTTATAAGATATAATATAACAAGGGAATTATGAACTGCATTTCCTTCAGAGACAGAAAGTTTCAAGTGTTGATTAAGGATCTGAAGGTAAACTTCTTATTACTCACAACCATGCGAGGCATAAACCTGCCATAACAGCTGACTCCTCTTTTTATTCTTGCTCGCAGTTTCCGCTCTATGACTGGATCAAAGCCATCATAAAGGCGCCATTGCTCTTCAATCTCCTGCCTGGTGCTAGTTATAATGATTTCAGAAGCATCAAGACACAGCTCCTCTGCCTCTATCCTCCGCATTATTTTATAAGTTTCATTTATTTCTTCCCTTGATTGTCGTCCTTGTTTTAGAATTTGTTCAAGCTTATCTCGTCCAAGTGAGTGACCAGTAAATAGCATTGGAACGTTTAATGTTCCAGACAAAAGAGCTGCAGAGTCACCTGCATCTGCATAATGTCCATGTATAGCAACAGGCCAAACTAGTTGCCCATCTCCAACTTGCTCACCAAGAACTTTGGACATCTGGATAATATGGCAAAGAGCACCATCAACAAATTCAGGAATATGAGGCCAGAGAAGTTCTTTTGGAATATACTTGTCCTTTGGCCCAAATGGCACTCGGATAATATAAGCCCCACTACTCTCGCCAAGCTCATCTTTGGAACTGCCAGAGCTCCTTGGATTAAGCATCTCCGTTGGTTCACCATAACTCCAGTCCACATCAGGAGCTGAAACTTGTCTAGTAAGCAAATCAACCCTATATACCCCCGGCATTCTCCCCAAGGCTCTAGCAAGTTCTACAACATACTTCACCTGATTATAGAAGAAAACAAAAAGATCCCAGAATAATAATGAGTATAACACCACATATGAATCTTGACAGCAGGGTAGGTTTCTGCATACATTGACTAAAAGGAATGCATGGAAAATATTTTGGAGTAACAATCCAGTGAAACAAAAGTACCTGGCCACCAGTATCAGAATCACGTCCAAGTTCCATGTTTTCACCACGAATCAAGCCATGAAGGCTGCACAAAAAGTGTTTGTTAAAAATAACTGAAACTTAACCGAAGTTAGAGGTTGTTGTGTTTTGAATATCACAACAAAGGTTGTAAACGCGATGTTACATTCTTTTAATCCCTACTCTGTTTTCCAAAGGGAAATGGTTCATGCCTTATTAAAACGATATATAGTTTCTTATCCTTGTGTTGAATAGCCCAGCTTTCCATTGTGTCAACAGAACCAACTCTGGGTACTTTATCTCTAATGCTGTCACCGTGCAGTGAGAGATCGCTGGGTACATCTCCTCTCTCTCCTTCTGATAAATCTTCTGACATTTCAGCAGTAACTTCTCTTCGCCCTCTTTCGCGTTCGAGATGGCGTTTAGCGATACGTTGAGCTTCTTCTCCTTCAAGCTGCCCAAATTAGAAAGCAAATAAATGAGAGTGAACATATGTATAATGGCTCCCGTAGATGTTCTGGAACCAATTCTCCAACATGCGCTCATTTTGAAGTACTATTGAGGTTTAGAAACTATGTTTCATTTCATTAATTTCTCAACGCAACCACCGCATCTGAAGTAGGAAAAGAAATTTACTCCACACATATTCATTCGATCATATGAAATAAGTCATCAGACCGATTTTCAACGTTTATGCAAGAACTGCCTCGTCAAGTTCAACCGCAGAGAAAATTAAATTAATGTGTCGTAATCGATTATAATCTAAAATTACAATCGTATACAAAATGAAGAAGAGACGTCGAAAACAAACCTGCTTCTTCTTTCGCGCCAAATTCCAAATCCTCCAGCACATATTCTCCAGCCTCGTGTTCCTCTCCTGCGGACTCCTCGTAGCCGCAGCCTACATCAACGAGAAGAAAATCTACACTAAAAAAACCTCCACACCTACTCCGACAAGCAAACGAATGAAGAACAAGAATCAAAACGGCATACCCGAACCCAAGAGCGATAGAGATCGGTTTCATCGAAGCCAGTGATGACCTCCTCAACGAAGTAACGAGTAGGACTAAAGCGTCCTCTCTCCCTCAGCAGAAGCGACGCTCTGGCATCATCGAGTCCAGGCCCAACGTCAAGTATCGCCTCCAAGTAACTGTTCACCCAGTCATTTCCCGCCATCGCCGCCGCGCTGAATCTGGAGCTCTTCAGAGCACTGAAGAACAAGGATCCAGTGATGAGGAAGCTATATAGAAGAGGTCGCTGTGGACTACTACGCTGGTTCAGTGCAGTGCAGCGCATAAAGCAAAAGAAAAACAGAGATTCCGCGACGGTTGCGATGAATGTGATTCTGATTCCGGCTGTAGACGCCACCTGACCGCCACCGGAGCATTACTGTGGATGAATTTGTTGAAAGAAATCGACGACAATGACAGAGAATTTCGCAACAGTGGCGGAGACTGGAGAGCGCGTTCGATTACTCTGGAAAGCCGGCTGGTAGAAGTTGGTAATTCAGTTTTTTGCTTTTTGTTTTATTCTTTTATATATATATAGAAATGTTTTATTCTTTTCTTCCTTTGTAGAAAATGAAAAGTTAATATTTGGATTGGATTAAAATATTTGATAATTAATATATAAAATACATGGAACTTCAGATTCGTAGAATTAAATAATAATATTTAAACAAACATTTTGTTACATGAGTCGGTAAATAATATCTACTGTCTTATATTGAAGTTGAAAGTTTAAGTTTCAGTATCCCAATTTATTATATTAAAAAATGTTTTGTTATATATTTTTAAGGTAAAAAATTTGTTTTATTACATTGGGTCGAGTTCAAAAAAAAAAAAAACAAAAAAAACTTTCCCAACCAACGTGTTGTAAGCATTGTATTAAAAGTTAGAAATTTTGACATCTACATTTGTAATTTTATATTCTATTAAAAGAACTAGCATTGAATTGTCAAGAACCTTTTAACAATTTTTTAGAAATATTCATTTTTTAAGGGAAATTTATAATGGACAGTTAAAATATAGTATAACATTTGAATGGGTAAATATGGTAAAATATTTGAAATTGGATTTTCTTTTTTTTTTTTTTTTTGTTGACAGACTTTTAAGTTATGAAAGACACGAATTTCATCTAAATAACATAACACAGCGTAATAAAAAAAACTGAACATAATAAGAAAAAGTAATATATAAGGTATATCAAGTATATAATTGTTTGGGCTTCATGTTCACTAAGAGTATATTGAACTTTTTTTTTCTCTCGGGTGAGTTTAACTTCCCTATTTAACTATTTTTACAAAATTGAGGAGTGAATGTTATTTTTACCATTTTTTTTTTGGCTACTTTTTCAAGCACTTTGGAAGACAATATAACCAAATATTTGAAAAATCAATCTTTGATCAATATCAAATATTTTAAAAAACAAATAGGTCGAGAATGATACTAAGATCCCAATGTGACCATATATTTTGCTTTTTGCTTAATTTTTTTTTCACTTTAATGTGAAAAGGGTTGGGGAGAAATTCGGTTGAATTAGTTGAGGGCCTTTAAGAAAATGGAAAAAATGATGTGATTTGACTTTGTAAAAGAAAAAAAAAATGAAACTAGAATATGTTCGTGAGATTATTCTTATCTTAATAGTATTTGATTCCACTACCTAAACTAAAGCACGGAGATGCCATGGCAGTTTACAGACGTGGCTTCATTTCATTGGTTTGGTACAATAATCTCCCAACACGGCACATATGTTCTTTTCTACCCCCAAACAATATTTATTTACACTTTTAATTAAAGATAATAATTCAGCATTATATTTTATTTTATAAAGATGGGCCTCTTGTCTTATACTTGCATTCATCTAGATAGTTACTTTTTAAAATTTCAATTACATCTCTGAATTTTAAAATATGATTGTATAAAGTTTTTTTCTTTTTTTTGGTTAATCAAGCTATGAAATGACAAGCTTGTTAAATGAAAATTAGTTTATTTTTTTTATAAATAATTGAAGAAGACAAAAAGTAGATAACTAGACAAAATAGAGTGACGCAGTTCCTAAAAAGAGATTTGATCTATAACACATGCTTTATTTCGTCCGAGCTTCTTTTCGTCATCTATTTGTCAACTAACATCTATCAAATAACTAATAAACATGTTATTTCATCACATTTAGTTAACAATATAGATTCTAGAGAATTACGATTCAAATTTTAACAACAAAAACCATAGTTTCGATTGTTGGAAGCATTTTAGTTTTAAAGTGCCGTTTACTTTATACTTTTAACCCTAACAATTTGTGTTAATTTGATAAGAAAATTTCACCCAATTTTGGTACGCTTCGAGTTCTATGGACATTCCCATCCCGTGTGGGCCTCTTGCTATATATTCAGGCCCAACACAAATAGGGACTAAAAAACAGCTCTAGCCCACAACTTGGAGTTGGAGAGATGTCCAATTACTAGACCCACTCAATAAACTACACAAGAAATTAAAGAATGAAAAAATAATAACACTGATCTATTTAAACAATAGGGAAAGAATTGGCTTGAGTGGTCGATCGTAAGTGATGAATTCCCCTCTCAAATAATACCGATGAATAAAACTTAGATGCATACCAACAGCAATATCTCCTACTTATCGCTATTAAAAAATTGACAGCTATCATTCATCTATTTTAGCTGTCAATTTTTTAATTGTGGTGAATATGAAGATACTTACTCGTAAACATAAGTTTCATCCCATCCTGACCACCATTACAAATAATTCAGAGAGGGAGAAGAGATAATTTTCCTTTTTTAAAATAATAAATAGTTATCAAATTTTTAATGGTGGTCAATAAGTAAGTATTATTCTTTCCTCCCGCCGCGAAGTTTTAATCAGATACCTGAGTAAGACGAGATGAGAAAAAAAGAATGAGAAGGTTTTGGTCAAGTATCTCGGAATATTGGCTGAGCTGCCCACTTGAGATGCAGAAAAATTCTCCCTGATTTGGCTCCTTCCAGTGGATAAGAGTCCTGAACTTCCCCTTCCAGTATCGCTCTTGTCAGTGTCATTATGACCCTCCCCAGTTTATCCTGTATAAACATGAAACAAGTGTTGAAAAGATCAAATGTACTATAGTTTTTCTTTTTGAATTTAGTTGAGTGTAGTATGATGTAAGAAGAGAACCGGAGATACTATGTTTGGATCTCTACAATATCATTTTTCAACTGATTAATAGTTTATTGGATTTAGTTGTAGTTTAATGTGGTACGAGAGGGTAGCTATAGACATCTGCAAAATCATTTCTGAAGGAACCTTCAACTTCAGGGAATTTATAGTGAGCTAATGCTTCGATTGGCAGTATTAATAGGCACATCGAGCTCAAACTCTTTCCTCGGTGACTTCATGAATCAAACTAAAATTTCAGTTCAAATTCTACACTTAATTTCAGTTCAAACAGTTGAGATGGAGAAGATTACCTTTCCAAAAGTGTCATGATCCCAGACCTCCACCATTAGCATATCGTGTAATGCATCCTCCACCAGGAAGTCAAACGTTTGATTCCAGACTGGGTTCAGGGTGTCATGCACAACCTAGTGAATCAAATCGTCCAATGAGATTTTGAAGTTTGATATTACAATATTGACGAATTGATATCATCAAGGAAATGGTGATATTGAATACTGATGATGTTTTGTCTACTTAATATGACAGTGAACAATCAAGTTGAAAAAGAAAAACTGCAAACTAGAGTGTAAATTTTTAATTCTTTCTTTCGACACAAAGCTGAGAATCTCACCCTGGTTTTAACCTTAGTGTCGGATTTCTTCATAATGAGAACGACGTAAGGATCGGCTTTTCCCATGAAATCTACAGCCGGCAAATCTTCAGCAGCTATTACTGTCACAGACAACACTCCTCTTACAATCACGTCCCTCTTCTTTGGGGAGCTTTGTTTTACTGAATCTGCATCTTCTGAGCCATTTGTAACCGTGTTCACACTCTTCACTGTCTTCAGAGCCTTCTCCACCGAGGTCAATGCATAATCTGGGTTAAATGGGTTCATATAGAGGCTCTGATCAGTGCCGTAGGGGTAGTAAAGAAGCTCCAAATGCACCTGTCAAGCATGGATATAAGTTGAGTAGATGTTAAGGATCTCTCGTCAAAAAGAACTAACAAAGTTTATAAGATATATGGATTACTCCTATCATTTCCAATTATCAATAGATTTTTTGATGGAACTCAATATTATATAATATAAGAGCCCAACAAGCTCATACGAATATTCGATCGAAAAATAGGATCCAACCAAGATTGGTGAGCCCAAAAGAGCCACCAATTGAGTGGACATTGAGAATCCCATGTCGAAAAGACCAAGGGACCTAACAAGGTCTATAAGATACATAAGCTACCCCTCTCATTTTCAATTGGTTTTGAGAAGAAACTCGTGAATTACATGGTAGATAACTCCTTTTAACTGAACCCAAAATAACTTCAAAAGGAAGAACTTGATGTCATTGGAGCTCTGACCTGACCCCTGTTTTTGTTATCCCTCTGAATTTCCAAATCTTTGACCAGCTTCAACCAAATGTCCTTCACTTTCCCAGGCTCGAGGTCCTTTAATGCTACTTGAGCACAGCCAATTAGCTCAGATGCCTGAACTCCTTCGTCGTCAAAAATTCTTATAGTCAAGTGCTGCGTTGATGGATCTTCAACTACGAAATCAAAGTGCTCATTCCATATGGGATTCAATTGGTTATTCTGGCCGAATACAGCAGAAGGAAAACTTATCTCAGTTCAGCCATTAAAGACCAGAAATGTAACGAAAAGAGAAGCTTTGTCTTACAATGGTTTTACTTGTTCTCGTTCTTTCTTTCAATGGCCGTACAAACACCATAGCATAAGGATCCGACTTTCCTATAATGTCTTTATTGGTTAATTCCTTTGCCTGCACGAGCTTCACTTCCAATGTTCCAACAGGCTTTGCCTCTAAGTCGCTACGATAATAAAAGGAAACCACATATGATTGAAACTAGCTAACCTTGAGCATCACATGTTAAAAAACTAATGGTAAACGATCATGAACTGATGTTTTATTTTCTGGTTGCTTAACATACCTATAATCCCCTGCTATGATGGGCACAATATTTCGAACCGGCCATGTTATGCTACCTTCGATGGCATCTCGAATTGTTCCCTAGACAAGAATATTCCACTAGTTTAGCTTATACTACAGAAATTTGATGTGCCAACAAGAGCCAGAAAGATCAAATAAGTCTGATTTACCTCAATAGCATCAGAAACCCCAGGAATAGAGGATATGTCCCCTCCAACAATCTTAAGTTTAAAATCCAGATTTTTCTGCCAGCAGTAACATGAACTATTGTGATGCACAAGTATTGAATGAACTACACATAAAAAGCTCTTCAGAAATGTATAATCTTCCTGACAATTTACCTTTTTCCTCAGGGAATAACACACAGCTCCAAAACAAGGAAACTCATCAACTAATGGCTTGAATATTAATCTGAAAAGCCCTGTGAATGCAATATCTTTTACCTAAATAAATAAGTCAGGAAATAAGAGAAGAGTTCGGCGAGGGAGAAGAAATTACATAACTGCTTACGAGCTTTTAAACTTAAGTAATCATTCAAAAATCATGATAAGTCTATCACTTAAATTATTTTTCACCGTCAGATATAGGAAACTCCTAATCACCTGAACTGGTAAAGAAACGCCAACTTTAGTTTTTATGTCAAGAACAATGTTTGGATTACCATCCCACTGCATCTCCAACTCTAAAGTTATTCCATCAGTTTCTGCTTCGTCCTCGAGTACAGCGATTCCTATAGAACGAATTTACGTTGTTTTAATTAAGGAGGTCGTGATAACTGGTACTGAATCTGGTGTATGCATTCAATTAATCGATAATATTGAACCAATTTATTACCTGTAAAATGAGGAGCGATAGTACCAAGGGTCAACTTTGAGAACTTCAAAGAAGATAATACAACCGGTCGAAATTGTTCGAGAATTGGCTCCACACTGCTCCTTATCAGCTCCGATGCTGCCTACAGAAATCGTCATTCCATGGAATCCCAGGAGATAATAACAGGAAGGAAAAGGACGAATCGACTCGAGGATCAAAAGCACGTTCTAATGTACATAACAATGAGTTAAGGAATCAGAGTAGTGAAGATTTGGATTACCGCGTCAACAAATGGCCAGATTTTATCAAGCTGGTGATTGAGCCAAGTTAACTGCAAACGATGAAGAAATTATAATTCTAAATCCTGAAATTAATCCACTGCCATTTTGGAACGAGATCTTCTGTTTGATTAAAGAAGAAAAAAACGGAACCAACCTTTTGTTGCTTCGTAAATACAACCCACGACGGATAAAACTCCTTCGGAAGGATTTTTCTGGAATCCTGTGCCGTCATCCTTGCAAATGCCGCAACTGTCGTCGCCTGAATCGCCAGTAATACCAATGGAACAGAAAATAAGTGCAAGAACAGGGCATCATAATATTGAACCAAGGGCAAAGTGAAGAAAGATAAAGAGATACCAAATCAGAGCGATGCTTGGCGCGAACATTCCCGGCGCGAGCAAAAGCAATAACCAGTAGGACTCCGACAACAACGCCGATGAAGATACCGAAAAAGAGCGACATGGCGGGAGAGAAACCAAAGGTAAACGAAACAGAGGAAGAAGCCAATAGTTAATGGAATCAGAGATCATGCTCCGGGCGAGTGACGAATGGAATCTGCGGACGGAATTGCAATGCGGAAATGGCGGAAGAAGAGAATGTATGAGTGAAGATTTGTTCCATATCGGAATTTGGCGTCGGAAGAAGACGAAGAAGAACAAGAACAAGAACAAGAGGAATTGGTTCTTTCCTTTGGTTTCGCGTCTCTTTGTTATACAGTGGATCGGAATTTCACAGGAGCAATCGTGGTACTTGGTTTCAAGTTAACCGTTGCGTAATTGTGCCACGTGGATCCGCCCAACGATTTCCTGCTTCTTCCGGGTCCTTGTCGTCTTTTTACTTTTTACTTTTTCTTTCTAGGAAGTGGATAAAAGTTCAATTTTGTATTTGATAATTGCATCAACTTACTGGTTACTACTATCATCTCTCAAGCGAATGAGATACTTATTTTAGAAATCGATGGTTTAACTCTCTAACTTGTTATTGGTGAATTAAAAAAAAAGTTTAAATAATATTTTGATAGGTATATTTTTCATTTTTTCATTTGATTTATTTTGATTCCTACACGCCCATATTAATTTATATTTTTTCAAAATGTTTATTTTAACCACTGCATTTTTTAAAGAGATCTCTTTATTTTTATCTTGATCTCATTTTCTGTGATCATGATTTTGACATAATAGTCCACTTTGACATCTATTAATCACTTTTAAAAGTTAAATGAATCTATTAAATGCTAGTTTGGAAGTTCATCAGGACTAAACTAGTTAAAGTCTCGTTGAATAATAAACTTGTTCGTAGTTTTTAAATTTTATATTTATCTACAATTCTTACCTATAATTATAGTAATGTTTTTCATATTTTTTTTACAAACATATTTGCTTGTAGTTTTATTTTGCAAACAAAACAAGTTATTTATTTATTTTTTATTTGTAGTTTTAAAAAATTCTATTAAATTTTGAAAAATACTTTAAAAAATGTATATTAAAAAAATATATAGGTGTCAACATGAGCGTGAACGACTAATGCATCTTGATAATTCTCTCAAAGTTGTAGCATCTCACGTTTGTTATATAAAAAAACACAAGTGAAATAAATATTTATAAACATAATTATTAAAAATAAGAAACAAAATACAAAAATAATGATCAAATATGGACTTTAACTTTGTAATATTATCATTTTAAATATAAAATTTTCAGGATGTTAATTAATTAATTATAATATTTTTTAATTACAACCACATATGTGGTGAATTATAATTCACCCTTTTTTAAATTTACGACAGATAACTCAATCCATTGAGTAAATTTATGTTGATATTTATTTCTTTATTTTACATGGATTCTGTTTTTTATTTTACTGAATATACTTGGTACCAGGACCAACGAAGAATGTCACTTTAGCTTGCATTTTCTTTTTCTTTCTTTCTTTTCCCTTTTTTTTTTTTTTTTGAAACAGGCATTTTCTTTTTCTTTTGTCTGTCATTCAAATAATAATAATAATAACGACGTGGAATTTCGGTCAAAATAGAGCGAGAAGAAGTGAGTACAGTGGTAACGATTCGCCACGTGGGATGATGGATATCGGTGAATATTAGCGTGATTTCGCCACGTGGAAGCCGGCGATAGGTTATAGCTTCAAATCTGTCGGAAAAATACCGGTAATCCTCAGCCGTTGGATGTGGCAGGAATCGGACGAGGCAAATTGCAGGTGCGTAAAGAAAGAAGTAACTAGACGGTGTCGGTCGACTGGACGGATGACGGTAGTCAAATATGCGAATTATATAAGTTTACATATGTGTGTATATATATATTATATTTGTCTATCTTCACTATTTGGCAAACTTCATGAATTATAATTTTTTTTCTATTAATTAGTATATTTAATTTCTAAAAAATAGCATATTTAATTTCTCAATAAAAATGTTGAAAAGTTAAAATATATAGCTTTTAGCTCTTTAAAGGAGACCACAATTGAAAAAAAAAAAAGTGAAACAACTCCCAATTTAAGAATGATCATCTTAAAAATATAATAATCTCTACCAAATTTCAACTCCATTTTTAACTAATTTTTTCCCAACCGATTTTTATACAAGAATATACTGATTTTTTCCCATGTTTTTTCCCTCATAAATTCGTAACTTTCAAGTTTCAATCTTTCATTTTAGAAAATTATATTTGTCAAATGAATAAAATATAATACTCAACCGAAATAGAGTAGAAATATTCTTGAGAATATAATACTAGAATGAAAATTATTTGACATATAAAAAAATTATCTGTATCTAGAGCTAAGATTTTTTCTGATTTGAGTTAGATTAAAGTTAATAAATTTGTATTTATTGTTTTGAAAGAAAAACAGTTGCATAAACTTGATCACATAATTGAGTTTCCAAAATTGCAATAAATAAAACGACCTTATAAATTGTAATCTTCAAAAAACAAGAAAAAAGGGAGAAAGCAAGAAACGCGGAATTCAATGATAATCGGTTTTTGAGCGCTGACGAAATGGCAATTAAAAAACGGGACAGGTTGGAGGAACGGCGAGCGAGAAGAAGGATAGACGGGAAGTAACCACCGATAACTTAAATTCCAAATCTTCAATTCAACATCACATCTCGGCGTTTCTCTTCTGTAACAATCAATCAATCCACCCATTTGAACCACCACCATCTCCAATTCATTTGTTCGTCCCTGCTTCCCATTGCTCTTTCTCACCAACCAACCGCAAGATCTGTATAGTTTCACGTTCCCTCATTCACCACCGAATTTGAAGGGAGCTCGGAGATCTGCGAGAAGGACGCGGATCCTTTTCGATTTTGTAGATTTCTTTCTGGGTTTTGGATTTTTCGTGATGAGTTGGAGGTATAAGGCCGGTTTGTTCCTCATAGTGACTGTTGTGATTATATGGGTAACATCAGCAGAAGTGACCCAGGTTTGTAGTTTAAGTGGAAGATCGTGAGTTATCTACAGCTTCGTTTGTGAACTTCCTTTTTGGGGACGTGTTGCATTATTAGTTTGCTGGGTAGTTGGGATTTTGCAATGGTGGGCAGGTTTTATATGTGCATTTTGTTTACGCTTTCTGAAATGCACATAATATGTTGCTTTAGCTTTGGAGTTTGTTCTGCATATTCTTTCGGAATTCATTTTGTTTTTGTTTTTTTTTTTTCCTTTTCTGAAGTATTTAGAGCTTGTTTGCAGAATAGTTTGTTGGGATTTAGACTTTAGAATTTAGATTTAATTCGAGCTGGGAGTTTTGGGATTTTGGTTGCAAGGGCAGAATTATCTTAGTCAGTGGAACTAATTTCTTGTAGCTAAGAGACTCGGACGAGTTTTTGAAGATTAGTCGACCTGCTTTAGTGATCCAGGAATCAGGAGACTACTTAGGTGTTGACAATTTTTTGCTAGGCCTTTCATTTCAAAGCTGATAAATGGTAGTCAATGGAATGGACTATTTCTTGGAGGGGTAAACTTATGTAGTTATTTTGTATATTTCATTGGTGTTTTCTTTTACCCTACTGATATAGTTCAATAGTTCACTAGTTTTTAAAATTTTCCCAACTTTTATTATTATGATGGAGCGCTGAGCAGCATGCTCATCTGCACATTATGCAAGTTATGACCAATGCTTTATTTTGTTTTGTTTTGCTTTCTTATTTTTTTGCTTTGTTTTGCTTACAGGACATTTTTACTGCTTATAAGCAGCCTTTTGCCATAACATATCTTGGAGCTTCTCTCATGGTAGTTTACCTCCCAATAGCATTCCTTAAGGATTGGTTTTGTAATTTGGTAAAACGCCACACTTCTAAAAGTGGTAAAAATGCAGAAAGCTTCAGTGAGACTTGTGCTCTAAAACACAGTGGAGCGGAGACAAACTTGGATGTGGAACTCCAGGGAAGTTTCACTAGAAAAGACAGTGATGCTGATTTTTCAACTCATGCTGAAGAAAGCCCCCTGGTTCCTGGAATTAAAGATGATCCATATACATCAAAACAAGAGAGAGAGCTTACTAACAAGGAAATTGCTGCATATGGTTTTTACATTGCCCCCATATGGTTTGTAACTGAGGCAAGTTAACCTGCACCTTTGGCTTTTCTTTTGGAATGATACTTCTCCATTGGTTCAATAGATTTTCGTCCAATTGAATAGTTGGATCTTTAAATAGACCATTATTGTTATTTTTTTAACAGGAAACCTTTATATTAATGAAAAAGTCTTGAAGCCTTTTAGTCAATTCAAAAACTTCTTAACCATGTATATGTATTTTTCATTGTGTATGGTGTGTTTTCTACTGTCTTCTTTTTGGCACAAATATTGGAAAATATTTAAATTTTTGTGAGGACTCTCCTAGTTGTTGGATGTCTAATTTTCTAGTTATGTTTTTTATATTCTCCCCACCAGATGAAATATTCTCAATCCTATTCTCTAGCATGGGGCCATGTTCTTTGTTCTCTTTGGTCTTCAACTCCTATAGTATTATGTGATGTCTCCTTGCCTTGAATGCCACTGAAACATGTGTGTACTTTTTGGTACCAGATGCATCTTTGGGCTTTGAGTAAATGTATTCATAAAAGTTGCTCTGTTTTAGGTATTATTCGCCTAGTGTGGTTCAAAATGTGACTGAGTGTACCACTAACTAGTATATCGTTAGGAAATAGTTTTCAACCAGCAATAGACGTGCCTCGGTTACAACCTCACTAGCTGCATCATTGCCCCAAGTGCAAATAGTATATGGTTAGGATAATTGGATGATGTAGTTGGAATCTTTATTGGGAAATCTGAAAGTAACATGGCATAATGTTGGTCCCGAAATGAACTTCGAGGGGCATTGACATAAAGCACCGTCTTTATTATGCTTCTTGCATTTGCAACCTTAACATGCAGATCTTGTCATTATCTCACCACGCATCTGCAGTGCATGGATCTCCCCAATCATGATGTGATCTTACAGTGATAGTTGGTAATACTTCTTTTTTGTTAATTTTTTCATTTTCTTTTGCAGTATCTATCAAATGCTGCACTTGCACGAACAAGTGTTGCCAGCACAACAGTTTTATCCTCTACTTCTGGACTTTTTACTCTGTTCATTGGTGCCTCCCTTGGCCAAGATTCATTAAATATGGTCAAAGTTGTTGCTGTCTTCGTCAGTATGGCTGGTGTCATTATGACAACTCTTGGTAAAACTTGGGCTGCTGATGAGTCACAACTAACTGCTTCTGAGTATGTCTCGACTCTATCTTTCGGGTCACATATTTGATTTTGTCTCATCATTCCAAATTGATCCTCGTGGCTCGTCTTAAAATACATTATGGTTTATTGGTATAATGTCTGCTTTTGTTGGTCAAGTTGTGGTCGCAATTTATCATATGCTTAACATTTATATTGTCACTATTGCATGAATAATCATTGGTATAATGTCTGCTTTTGTTGGTCAAGTTATGGTCGCAATTTTGTATTCTTTTACTGAAGAATTTAGCCATCCTTATAACCATCCTAAACCCATAAAACTTCTATATAACTAAAAGCATGGTGGTGGGTGCAGCAATGAACACTCTCTCATTGGAGATATTTTTGGCCTACTCTCTGCTGTATCATATGGCTTATTTACCGGTAATGAATGTGTATCCTTCTTGCAACTTTTCACATTTGTGTATAACTATTGATCTGACTAGTTTTTCGTTTCTGTTGTAGTGCTTCTCAAGAAGTTTGCTGGCGAAGAGGGAGAGAGGGTGGATGTGCAAAAATTGTTTGGATACATTGGTCTCTTTACGCTCGTCACGCTTTGGTGGCTCGGTAAGTGAGACTATTGATGCTCTTATCTGTAATCCATCAAATAGAATCCTTAAATTTATGTATCTATGTTATCATTTCACTTGCTTCTTTCACTATGCTGCATTGGGATAGCAGACTTGGACTCAGTGGTACTGGATTTAGAAAGATTTATTTAGCATTCTATAATTGCTGGCTCATGAGATTGGATTTAAGTGTTTTCGCGAGACATATTTTATGCGATGCATTTTGCATAGATGCACAGTGGGTGTGTGCTATGGTGGGTTAGATTAAGCGTGTTTTCGGTGCCTGGCAGATCAACTAATTTAGTCAAGTATTTGATTGGTTAATCCTATCTTTGGCTGTTAAGATTACATCATTTAAGCTTTTCTTTTGGTGGTGGTTTCAGTTTGGCCATTGACAGCTTTGGGAATAGAACCCAAGTTTTCGATTCCTCACTCTCTTAGGACGGAAGAAGTAGTTCTCGCTAATGGCTTTATCGGAAGCGTACTTTCCGATTATTTCTGGTATGTCAAATCAAGTTAAGCCTAACCTAGATGGCATATAACATTTTCTCCTTACACCGAACCTTTTATTTTGTATCCAGGGCACTCTGTGTCGTATGGACTACGCCTCTGGTGGCAACGTTGGGCATGTCGCTCACCATTCCACTCGCCATGCTGGCTGACATGTTGATCCACGGCCGTCACTACTCAGCAGTTTACATCCTCGGCTCAACTCAGGTAACTAACTACTTTTGTGGTTCTGAGTGTAGTTTCAGTAAATGACGAAGAATCTCGAGTTAAATAAAGTAACTGTACTTGAGTTGTGGTAAGTATAAAAATGCAAAACCCACCTCTGAAGTCTGAACTATAGAACCTGATACAACTCACCCTCAAGCTTAGAAAACCGTTGCAATTAAGACACATCGTTACAACTATTGGTGATACCTTGAAGTAAAAAAATAGTTTCAGTTAAATTCTCGAACTATAGGGGCGATAAGTTCTGTACCGATATTTGGGAGTCGACATCTTGTATTTGGCTGTGGGTTGCAGGTGTTTGCAGGATTTGTAATTGCCAATCTTTCAGACTGGTTCTCAAAGAAGCTGGGGTTGTAGCATTGGATGATAATCTTCATTTTGGCGCATTCTTAACATGGAAAAAAGTAAAATTCTTTCATGAGGATATTCTCTCTCTCTCTCTCTCTCTAGTGTCTTTCTTCTTCACCAATTGAATTGGAATGTATATTCTGATTGAGACTTGTAAAAACTGCAATTTTGGGTAAAGAAGCACCACCATCTGCATAAACCATAGATGACTGAAATGTACTCTTGTGTTTTACCACTGGTTGTGTAAATTAAGTGAAGTGAGGTTCGTTTGGGTCGTATTTGGATTTCGAGCCCTTGATGTAATAAGAATGAATGTTCCTTCCTTTGGTTCAAATGAAAATTTAAG